AACACATCATTACAAACAGGGCTTAGAGACGGAATCAATGGAGATAATCCTGAACTGCATTTACACGATGAAACTTCCACTCAACAAGCAGAACATTTATAGCGTATTTGCACATGCAGAATGTTTCTGCCTCAACAGTATCTGTGATGCGTGCGTTTGCTACATCGTCGCCAGTCTCAAGCCAACGAATTGTGTCGAATGTTTCTTATTCGCCAAGATTCATAACCGGACGGATTTAATTGTTAAGTGCTTAGGTATGTTTTTGGGTGAATAATTTTTTTAATAAATGAATTTTCTTCAATCTACTGATCTCCCATGAACTTTCACACGCCAGATTACTTATTGAAAAATTTCTTGGATGTGGTGCAAACGAATGACGACTTCATCGCCTCAATAGGTCTCCTGTGCCTTTTATTTCGTATTTCATCCAATTATCCAATCAAATCAGCCCATTTAAAATCGAACCGACCAATCAAATTAGCTAACTAAATCGAAACCATCAAATCAAATCGAATCAATTAAATCCAGCCAATTTAATCGAATCAACCATTTAAATTTAACTACCCAATCAAATCGCGCCAACCAATCATAACGCAATCTAATTAAATCGAACTAGCCACCTAATCAGTTCAAATTCATCAAATCAAACCAACCAATCAGAGGCGAGAGAATTATGCAACCTCCTCAGTAGCAATACGCTGAATTCAGAATCGGAAGATGAAATTTTTAACGTCGTCTGCCTCTGGATCGAATATGATACGCTGTCGGTTTCTCTCTTATTTCTCTCTCTCTTTCTCCTCTCTCTCTCTCTCTCTCTCTCTCTCCAACCAATCATATCTTTTCTCTCTCTCTTTCTCTCTCTGTTCTTTTTTTCTCTAGCTTTCTCTCTTTAGTTCAGTCTTTTTCTCTCATAACTATATTAAGTTTTACTATGAAAAGTGTTTGCGCAATGAATAAAAGATTGATTGGTTAATTGATTGATTGATTGATTGATTAAAAGAATGAAAGAAAGAATGAACGAATCAATGAATGAACTAATGGATGAATGAATGAATGAATAAATGAATGAATGAATGAATGAAATACAATAGGAAGAGATCGCACTACGTCTCGAAGTTCTTACGTTGCTTGAGGCTAGGACTGCTGACCGGTGATTTCTTCTTGGATAAGGTCCTGAAGTTCAATATTATCGCTTATTATTAAATTATCAATAATTCTTATTACAGATAGGCATGTAACTGTATAATTAATTAATTGATTAATTAATTGCGGTTCTTGTGTCATCATCGTCGTCGTCATCATCGTCATCAGCACTATGAATGCCACCACCAATACGTCTAGGTGTTCTGCAGTTCGCACGTTGACATCAATTGGAATTCAGTGAATGAGATCATCAACCAAGCATGGAACCTCATAAACTGGTCTGAGAAGAACAAGCTCCACTCGCCGTCCAGTAGGGCCTCCCTTGCCCACCCCTTCCTGAAGCCCCGCATACCCAGACACATTATTTTCGCAGTTGGAGGCTGGAGTGGTAGGTATCGATTGCTTATGTACAAGCATACTGCAACCATTCTCGCCATTCGACCCACTAATCATAGTGATTTATTCGACCAATCACAACCATTGTCCACTAGTAAACCGACCAATCAAAATATTTCTCATCAATTACAGGCGACAGCGCAATAGCCTTCATAGAGACGTACGATTGGAAGGTGGATCGCTGGTACAGCCACCCATACTTGGAAGATTCGGTGCCGAGAGCCTACCACGCCATGATTGTCCACCTGGCAGTCATCTACCTCATCGGCGGGTTCGATGGCTCCTACTACTTCAACTCCGTCAAGTCTTTCAATCCGGAGTTAGTTCCTTGCTGCTTTCTTTCTTTACCATTCGTTTAGTGCCTATTTGTTTATCTTTATCTCTTATCATCACTCTCTCACTCTCCCTCTCTTTCTCTCTCCCTCTCCTTCATCGTTTTAACTGCCTGCAAATTATTATTATCTGTACTTTCATTTCATTATCTTTTCCACTCTAATTGACACCATCAATCCCCTTACAACCACCATCATGATCATCACCACCAACTTATATCGCCACTATCGTCATCAGAGCAAACACCACCACAACCACCATCACCATCATCGTTATCGTCATCACCACGGAAAATTGCAGAACGGGCAAGTGGAAGGAACTGGCCCCAATGTACAGCCAGCGCTGTTATGTCAGTGGAGTCTGCCACAAAGGACTGATATATGCGTGCGGTGGATTCGATGGCAGGTAGTGGCTGCTGCCGCTGCTTATGCTGCTTCTTCTGCTGCAGCTTCTTTCGTCATCATTCTTAATTTCTTCATTTTATTATTGTTATTTGTTTATTATTAGGTATTTTATTATTTCACTTCTTATTTATTATTGATTGATTGAATCTTCTTGTTTGCTAATTGCTCCAGTGATTTTCAAACACTCTCACACATTCATTCGGACATAGAAAGATCGATTACATCATACCGCACACATACTTAATACACTCTTACATACACACGCATACACACACACACACACACACACACACACACACACACACACACACACATACGAACACATACACATACAGATCACGCCTGAACACGGTAGAATGCTACTGCATACAAACGAATCAGTGGAAGCATGTCCAGCCCATGCATCATCAGCGTAGCGATGCTTCTGCCGATGTTTTTAATGGTTTTGTTACCATCTTTATTGTTAACTTAACACATATAATTAACATATTAACCAACTAATTAACATAATATTTACTTAATTAACATATTCATGAAATAGATGAACTCTATATAGTGGGCGGTTTCAATGGCGAGCACTGCCTATCGTCTGCTGAATGTTATAACCCCATCCTAGACCAATGGACTCTTCTGCACAGGATGACGTCAGCACGTAGCGGAGTCAGTCTCGTGGCCCAAGGCGAGTTCATTTATGCCCTCGGGGGTTTCGACGGAATTCGGAGGCTGGATTCATGTGAGATTGTTGCTTCGTTCTGTTTGCGTGAATCTATAAATCAATTCAAAAATTTACAAACTTTTAAAAGTAGATGAATAAATGATTAATTTAAATAAATGATTAATTTTCAACGGGTAGGCGAGCGTTACAACCCCTCGGTAAACATCTGGGAGCCAATGAGCAGGATGCATTCGGCCAGGAGCAACTTTGCCGCTGTGGCTATGAGTGGATGCATCTACGTGATTGGTGGATTCGATGGTCACCTAATTTGCATATTTTTCAAATTTTTCTTATATATATATTCGATTGATTGATTAATTAATTATCCGTGAACGATTTCCAAAAACTTTAAAAAATGACACGAACTCAGGATCGATAACGATTTCGCAAGTGGAATGTTACAAAATATCCGACGGTGTTTGGCTGCCGGTGTCTGATCTGAATATGAACAGGTCAGCCCTGAAAGCTTGCATACTGGACGGTCTGCAAAACGCATCCAACTTCACCTTCTACGGCCAGCAGCAAACGGATAGTAACATCGAATCTGGCGACACATCCCTACAAGCCGGCTATTCGGTGTTCGGATACGGCTCCGTTGATGAAATGTTTGCTCTAGAGGAAGCTAATGAAGCGGATACTACAACTGCGGCTTCTAATACAGCTGTCAGTAACGATCGAAATGATGATAATGATGATTGTTGCGATGGTAATGATGATGTTGATGTGGTCAATTTGGGTGAGGTCAGGTGCTCTGGAGATAACGTCGTCATCCTTGATAACGATACCCTCGCTAATAACAACAATCTGCTGACGGTGGGTTATGATGATAACTATTCTATTGGTAATTATAATGATGGTGACGATGATGATGACGGCGATGATAAGGCTTTTATTGTTGATGATGGTTCAAACATCAAGGACCATGTTGAGCATTATTCTGATGTAAATAATAAGGCTGCTTCTATCGCCATTACCACCACTACTACTACTACTACCACTACTACTACCACCATTACTACTACTATCACCAACACCGATGATGATGATGGTGGAGCTGATGATGATGATTGTTTTAATTATAATATTAATAGCAATGATATAAATCACACTGGTGCAAATATCTTCGATGACGGCATAAATGACCTCGATGGCTATGTCGATTTCAATTACACCAATTATTCCGACAACAATTATAATATGAATAATAATAATATAATTAATAATATAATTAATAATAATATAAATAATAATAATTATAGTGACGATAATAATATGAGTATTACAAATAGTAATGATGTCTTGGACGACGATGGAGGGTTCTTTTGTGAGGGTAATCTTTGACCTTGCGTCGTCAATTTGATTTTATTTTTGTAGAAAATAAAACACAAATTTTACATATTTAAACTTTAATTCCATTTTTATATATATATTCCTTTAAAAAGTTATCTGTATTTAATCTATGGGATTTTTTGTATTTACTATGAGAATTAATAATCTCTTAATGCCGTATGATTGAAATCCATTCACTGCAGTTTCTAAAAGTTCAACCGTTCCCAATTCATACCATGGGGGGTTAATAATTTTTTTTCGAAATTGGTACAAATTTGAAAAAATAAATGTACCTGTTTTTTCATCATTTGAGGCACTTTGTCTTGCCTTGACAATTGATAAAGTTAAAATACTTTTTTTGGCGATGTATCGGCCTGGCTCTGTAATGATATCTTCATTATGAACTCGCAAAGCGAACGACTACCAAACAGTTTTAATGAGGATAAAAATAGTAGAAAACATATAAGTAACTGAGATAGTATCGCCTAATTCGAACTGCGTAAATCCGTTTATTATGTAATCCGGAGATAACTTTGCAGGAATAATCCGTTGAAACTTTCAATTATTCAAAATCCAATAATAGGGATGCCGTTAAACCGGAAAATATTTTGATCAGAGAGATAATTTCAAAGTTAATCTTTCAAAAAATTTGGAAGAATTGTTATAAGTTTAAATCCGCATGCATTCTCTCTCTCTCTCTCTTTCTCTCTCTCTCTCTTACACACACACAATAGGTAATTTTTTTTAAATATATAAATAATTTAAAGGGAAACGAGCATATGTTTATTTCATTTGAAATGATCATCAAAAAATAATGATGGAATAAAATATCAGTAACCTATACACATACACGCACACATACAGGCACACACACACACACACATATATATATATATATACATATATTATGTTATATATATATATATATATATATATATATATATATATTCATACATATAATCATTATAAGTCCGACTTGAAAAAATTTAAAAATAAAATCAGAGCAATAAACTTAATTTGACCAAAAAATGATCAACTAAATGTTCGTCCTCAGACAGTCAAGCAAGCAATCAATGGTATTTATGACTGCACATACTCATAAATATACATGCGCATGAATCAGTAACAAAAGTCCAATTAATCATTCCATATAAATTACTAATAATATTGCATTTTTAACAAAAAGACACCATACATCGTGAAGAACAGTGATGACGGTGATGATGATGATATTGTCTGCTTTTTCAGTTTAGCTGTCGTTTCTTTGGTCATTACATGCCAGTCAATCAAACCACCCATCAGCCAAAACCAATAAACCACAATTGTTTCAATCAATCAATCAATCGTTCGATCAATCAATCAATCATCAAACAAATCCTCAATCAAGTATTCATTCAAGATCAAAAAATAACCCATGCGTATTAACCATTCAGCAACTTTTTTAATAAGTTAAATCAACGAGTCAATAGTTCAACTTATCAATCATTCTAATAATATCATTCAATCATTCAACCGATCAATCAATTACTTTTCAAGCAACCAGATGACTAATGATCACTGATGATGAACTTTATCAGATTAAACAACAATTTAGTCAATCACTCACCCAATTAGCTCAACTCATCCAACAATCAATCGAACAATCAACCAATTATTCAAACAATCAATCAATCAACCAATTATTCAATCAATCAATCATTCAGAATTGGAAGCAATAGCAGTAGTAGTATCAACATCTGCTCCTATCATTTCAACATCTTCAGACGACGCCACCAATGCTGACAACGATTTGATTGGCAGACGAGGATCATCGCGGTCATCATCATTTTTGCTTTCGCTGTTCTTGTTAACATCGCCGCACATTTCAGCGCCTTCATTTGTGACATTCACATCGTCTCCAATATCGTCATTGTAGTTGCAATCGAAAGCAGTTCCATCTGATGTTGTTGTCGTTGTTGTTGTTGTGTTGTTATCATTAATTTCAAGATCTTTCATTGGAGACATGCTATCAACAATATCATCGTCGTCATTATTAGCCATGCTTTCATTGTTAGAGTTGTTGCTGTCATGTTGGGCTGTTGTTATTTCCATGTTGATGTCGTTGCTGTCGTTGTTGATGCCATCACTGAAATCTTTCATGATGTCATCTTGATGTTGTTGGTTATCAGCATTCTGTTGTTGCTGTTGTGGTGTTAGTGTTGTCGTCACTGAGTTTCCATTCAGTAATTGTGTCAGTAGAGGAGCTGTTATGTTAATTAAACAAAATAGAATAGAGACCTAAAACAAAAATATAACTCCTGAAAATAATAATTTCTAAAAAAAGATTTCTAAAAATGGCGATTTCTAAAATAGAATTCAAGAACTAAAAAACAAATAGATATATTGAAAGTAATAGTTTCTAAAAATAGTAACCGTTTTGGAGATCGTAATCATCACTGCCACCCTCTCCCTCCTCCTCTTCATCATCATCATTGGCTTCATCATCATCCGCCTTGAAAAGTTTTTTAGGTGGAAAATAATCATCACCGGCATCATTATTTTTGATGAAGTCGCCGCCCTGGCCACTAGCGTCACAATCGTCATTACTTTCGTTAATATCTTGATTGTTATCATGGTTATTATCTAACGATGGAGATGTTTTCAAGTTTTTTTGCTTGTTCAGTACTTGCTGCTGCTGTTGTTGTCTTAGTTTTTGTTTGTTGTTATTGGTATTAGTAGTGGTAGTAGCAGAATTGTGGTTCCAAGACATTGGGTATAGATTTGGTGAATCAACCACATTGCTCAGATTTGAAAACCACGACGACGTTGTTGTTGTTAATAAGGATGATGATGATGTTGATGATGATGGAGGTGATGATGTTGATGATGATGGAGGTGTGGTTGATAGTAATGATGATGAAGTCGTGGGCGGTAAGACATTGCTACTACTACTACTGCTGCTACTACTGTTTGTGATAGCATTATTATTATTGATAGAATTATTATTATTACCAAACGAGCAGTCGGGTGATGATAATGATGACGAGAGAATGTTATCATCATCCATCATCATCACGGATTCTGCTATGGTTGTGATCGATGAGGATGATGATGTGAGCTTGGGTCCTCCAACTATGCGTCTGTGTGTACATGTTTGAATGTGAAAGTATGTATGTGTGTGTCTGTGTCTGTGTTTATGTTTGCGTGTATATGTTTGAATGTGAAGGTGTGTGTGTGTGTTTGTGTGTATGTATGTGTTTGGATATTAAGGCATGTATGTATGTATGTATGTATATGTGTTTGAATATGAAGGTATGTATGTGAAAGAGAGAGAAAAATACATAAACTATATTAATAATGTCTTGCCTAATCTATTCCCAACTTACTTTCCAAATGGGTCGACTGTGGTTACTACAATGAGGTTCTGTCATGTGTGTGTGTGAAGTTGGCAAAACATCATTATTACTATTCATTTTTATTACAATTTTTACTTTCAATAATAATTATAACATCAATAAGTTAAAATATTGTTATAATTTTTTCAATAATATTATTTATGGGTTATGTGACAATAATCAAAGTCAGTATTTCAAATTTTAAAATATAGTTGAAATAATAAAAAGCTGAATAATAAGAATAATAATAATAATATAGATAATTATTATTGCTATAATAATAATTAATAATTATATATTCTACCTTTTCCAGTCCTCTCATGAACTTATCAGCCTTTTTGTATTGCTTATTGATGGATTCATCTGTGAGCAGTTCACACAATCTTTGTATGGTAAAAGGAATTCTAAATAATGATAATAAAACTTTATTAAATATAAATAATAATTATTATTATAATGGTTATAATTATTATTATAATGATTATAATTATTATTATATAGTTGGTGGATAAACACACCCATTGAGCTGAGCGAGACAAGTCTGCAAACGGTCTTTCATGTCTTCAAATGAGACAAACTCTCCGTTGTTAGGACACACTGCCTGTTTCTCGACTGGGTATTTCTTCTGGAATTCTTCGACTACCAAATTTAGTTTGTGGTTTATTAATGGTTTTATCTTTGCCCATGGGAAACTGTGAGGTAAAAAAATATTTTTCTATTATAATATAGATTAGTTTTTCATAATTATTATCATATTAAATTAATTAAAGAATAATTATTTAATAAACTATAAACTAATACTAAATATAATTAAATTTTAAATTAAATTAAAAAATAGCCCACTGAGTCATTCCAGTAGCGGCGATTTTACAGAGATACTGCTCTAGGACGTTGTTAATCAAACCTTCTGGACCTTGTTTGGCAAATTCTAATTATAGGGGAATAAATATGGAAATTTAAAAGTCGGAATTTTAGCCATTTTGCTGTACTCACCACACAACACTGGCATACACAAACATAACACAAGATACAATTAGAATTGGTTGATTGTGATTTATCAGAGATTAATAAAAATTAAAATTTTAAAAAGTGAAAATTATTCCAAATAAAAATCTAAATTAACTACGACATGTACCGTCCAAAGCGTCCAAAATTTCCTGCTTGTTCTCCATTTTCTATGAAATCTCACTTTTGAAATATTCGTGGACCAAATCAAACTAATGCGTGCTTCAACTAACAACCACAGCGTTACCGAGAATTGGACTATTAATAAATAACATTAAAAGTGAACTTAAATTGTATATGCAAAAAATGCATATACAAATTTTAATAATTTTGAAATTGTTTCAAAAGTATTAGATCGTTATTTTAATTGAAAGTTTGTGAATATCATAGGCGAAACCGGAGATCCGTCATGAGTGTTAAACTTAATAAACGCATATATATATAAATAAAATCTAATAAAATGATAATGCCCTAAACCTAAAGGCCTAAAACAAAAACAAGCTAACAAACAACCCTAACTTAAGAATGAGAAGGCAATCCCATATTTCCTAATCTGCTGGCCGTAACCTAAATTGATTTATTAGCTTTTAATAATATATACAAGCATCTCAGCTGTTGTTTGTTTAAATTTAATTAATAAATTAACGCGAGATTACGAAACGCCCGCGGACAAACACACGTCAAATTATTTATTATTTCCTAATTATGACTAAGTAATTTCATCTCATTAATAATAATTAATTTCATTAGTGTTGCAATTTAAGATTGTTTTCAAACAATGTGAACGTCTAACTAAGCCGTTTGCAAATTATCAACCAATGCAAATGCAGATTTGATTTGCACCACTAAATTCAAACTATCACTTATTCAATTGCCTATAAAATAAATATAATTAATTGTTTTTGGCAATGTAATATAATAGAGAAGTAATAAAGGATGTTTTCACTTCAGAAGGCCACAAATTTTCAGTATTATTGTGTAATATAAATTATAATATAAAATAAATAAATATGTATATATATATATATAATATATATTGTTGATCTACAATCTACATTTCCCAGAAAAAAGTATTATTTTATTTTTTTATAATTATAATTACTAGCAGTGCGATAAAACCTTTTGTTATTTTATAAAATAAACCAATAAAAATAGTTACCAAATTTACTAATACTAATACTAATATTAATAAGGTATTTTTATATATCTCTCTCCCTGTCTACTCTATCACCTGGGGGCCAAACAGCATTATCATTACTATTATCATTACAGCATTATAATTACTAGCAGTGCGATAAAACCTTTTGTTATTTTATAAAATAAACCAATAAAAATAGTTACCAAATTTACTAATACTAATACTAATATTAATAAGGTATTTTTATATATCTCTCTCCCTGTCTACTCTATCACCTGGGGGCCAAACAGCATTATCATTACTTTTTATAAGCAAACAGAGACGAGATCAATAAATTTCTTGTCAAGAATGTCCCTCGGTAGCCATAAAAAGAGACGACATAACAGCGGGGAGGTGTGTCCCATGATGGACATTGAAAGCATTGATGACAGGCTGTTTTCAACAAGCAATGTCTTCTGTCTCAAAGTTCTCTATAGCTTTTATAATGTGCTGTTATTGGTTAGCTGGTGGTTTGTTATGTTAATTAGTTTTTATTGGCAATTATTCATCTTAAGATTTAAATAATAAATGCTTTTATAATTAAAAAATGGTTTTTTAATAAAAACACTTTATTCTCAGTTTGATAGATTTTATAATATAATAATCGTTTAATATTCCAACATTTAGTTTTATCTTTTTTATTTATAGATTTTAGGTTCGCTTGCAATTTGCTTGGGAGTTTGGTCATTTTTCACATTCTACAAAACAACTTTAATATTAGGATCCATCATTCATCAGATAATTTGTGCTAGTCTGATATTTTCAGGGCTCTTTATAGTCTTTTTCATCTTTTTCATCGGATGCTGTGGAAGCTTTTATGATAATTTTTGCTGTTGGGGATCGGTTGGTTGTGCTCATTTAGTTTATTTTCAATTTTGATTAAATTATTTTAATTATACTCAAATGTAATGACACTTCTTCTGTAGTGATGTTCCTAATTTTTGCTTCATTCAAATCTCAAGTATTGGTTATTATTTTAGAAGATAATTTTCTTCTTACAAACAGTTCTCAGCAAGTTTGTTACTTGTCTTTCTGGTTGACTTCTTAGTGTGTATAGCATCAATAAAGTATAAATTTATTGTTAGTCATTGTAGTATGAATCCGTCATTGTTTTTCGTTGCATGTAATGATTTGTAAATATGCGTGTGTGTGTGTGTGTGTGTGTGTCTGTAAATATTATACAATACAATAATTTATATTTGATGAAATTTAAATATGATCTATATTAAATTACATTAAGAAGCAAATTATTTGATACAACAATTGTTTAATACAAGATGTAAAAACTCATCAACAATAAGTTATACACTTTCATTTCAGATAAGCAAGGATCTGCTGAGATACCTGCAACACTTTATGCATATAAGAAACAACCAAGGCATCAACTCTGCTTTCGATTTTGTACAGAAGAAAGTTATTTAATATTTCTTCATTTTTCAATTCTTACTTAATAAAGTTGTTAACGCTTATTTAATTGGACAAAACATTAATTGATAATATATTTTATTTGAAATTTGATTGTACTGTTAATTCGGAATTTGAGTGAATTCTAGTACTGTTAATTTAGTTTGAGTTGAATACTTAGTTTGGAATTAGTTTGAATTTTTGTATTTTTAATTTGATCTTTGATTACTTCTAGTTCAAATGTTGCGGAATCACATCCTACTTGGATTGGTTTGAGCTGGATGAATCCAACAATCGGACCGAGATGTTTGTTCCTGACAGTTGCTGCATATCTGATACACTAAACTGTGGTCTGAGAATTCATCCGTCAAACATTCACTATGATGTTAATGCTTTTTCTCATAATACTTTACCATTTTTACGAATTCTGTTTGGCAATTTGTATCTTCATTCCTTTAATAGTTAATGTCAGCTGTTTATAGGTTGATATTTTTCTGGTTTCTAAATGATCTAATACAAAAATTTATAGGGATGTGCCAAGCCATTAGATAAGACTATTCAACAACAGCTGACTGCCATCTGCTTAGGAAGTTTTGGGCTTTGTTGTGTAGAGGTTAGAGAAAGAATACCATTTTGATTTGCTAATTCTTTAAAATTTTCTAAAAATCATCTCCGTGAGAGCCTGAGATTTTTACAACATTGTTTGGTAAAAATAAATTATTGAAATTATGATTAATCAAATGAACTACAACTGAATATAATATTCTGTAATATAATATAAGTAGCATGGTTTAAAGTGCCCACTATTGTTGATATTGATAATTTTCCATTTCATTCTTCACGCTTGCAATGTTATTCTATACCTAATTAAACCACCTTGCCACAAAGCCTGTACTATCCGAACCACACACACACACCGCACCACACACGTAAGATTGCCTCTGTATTTCAGTCTTCGTTTGAACCACGCCATTGTGTAACAACAACGCAAAACATAGCACTCCAACCAACTGAGCCAATTCGGTGACCAAAGTAGAAATAAAATTTGTAAATACGAATGATATTAATTATAATCCTTTTTCTAATACAACCAGCTCTTTGGCATCATTCTATCATGCTGTTTAATGAAAAAGATAAAAGATTCCAAAATGCTTCCCAGCGTCAGATATTGAATCTACACCTACATTTACAAATTGTAATATCAAGATTTGAAATAAATTACAGCAATAATTTTTAAATTTGTAGTCTCGTATTTCTAACTTTTACGATTAAATTAACTCTCGTAATTTTTTATTCGCATCTCTGTTTTGAGCATCCTAATTATCTTAGTATCAGTCAGTTGAACTAGCTCATTTTTTCTTATACTATCAGATCATTATTTTCATAAAAAAACATTTTTGTTACATGTTTCAATGATTATCTTCATTTCAAAATTATTTACTGCATTTGTTTGGACCTCCTCCGTTTTAACTTATTGTTGTTTACTGAATTATTGTGATTAAGAACAGTATTCCTATGAGTATATAGAGCATTATCTTTTTTCTACAGCCATGATTTGTAACATTTAAGTTGTAATATTAATAAAAATAAAAACACTAATTCATTTGAATTTATTAGCATTCAAATAAAAAAACAACAACTTTGACTGTTTCGTTAAAAACAAGCAACCCGACAATTAGTTTCAACCAACTGAAGAATCAGTCAGGTGCACGCACACACATATCCAAATCAGTTTGACCATTCATCAGACGGGTAATGGATTTATTTGCCCTGTGCAGCCATCCAGGCACTGAGAGGCCCGTGGGGTGGTTTGTACTGCACATCACAACCATCTGGCACCAAGGTGCCCTCTGCCCTCATTGGCTCAAACTTCTCACGATCCCATTTTGTGAAACCCCATTTCCTGCTCACGTGGATCTAGTGACAAAAAAAGTATTTAGTTTATTTAGAACAATATAACATAAATGTATATTTAATTATTTATTAAACAAATTAGACAAAACTAAAACAATCACCCACCTTTTGCCTGCCAGGAAACTTGAACTTTGCCCTCCTCAGAGCCTCAATGACCTTATCTTTGTGTGCATCCTTTGCACGAACAGACAGGATAATCTGTCCGATGTCCACACGTGCTACTGTCCCTTGAGGCTTGCCAAAAGCACCTCTCATCCCAGTTTGGAGCCTAAAATTATTTAATTATGAAATTTGGTTACATTGAAAAATTACATAAATTCCTGTGTTGACTAAATTACATTCAACTGGTGCAATATTAACACACTTATGTACTGTTATTTAAAAAAGATAAATCAATAAAACAGTAATATATAAATAAATATTAACACTAGAAAACAATAGAAGCAATAGTATCACACAAAGGATTAACAAATTAGCACCTACCTATCTGCCCCGGCGCATGATAACATTTTATTGATTCTGATGACGTGGAAGGGGTGAAGTCTAACTCTCAGATGAAAGGCATCCTTACCACAGTGTTTCACTAAATATTTATTAGCACAAATTCTTCCGGCTTCGAGGGCCTCCGAAGAAATTTGCTCCCATTCATCTGACACCAGGTGCACACACAGTGGAAACTCATCCACTTTGGCCTTCTTCCTCCCAAGATCAAAGATCCTAATCTTTGGATCTAATAGATAAAAAAATAATTTAACTTATTTTTGCATCCAGATTTAAAATGAACATTTTAACATAAATGTAAACTGATTTGTTTGATGTCTGAATGTGGCTAATTTTTGAACATATTTCTTTGTTTTACTCATAAAATAAATAAAATGGACAAATCGTACCTGGCACACCCCTGCAAAACCTTGACTTGGGGTAAGGCTTGTTCTTACAATATCTATAACTAAGGAACAAAATTTAAAAATAATATAATGCTATGTTATTCGTTCATTGATAATGGTGGATTGAAGAATTAATACGCTGAAAACTGACAGAACGCAAAACCACAAAACGTACCATCTTGCGGGACGACGACCCATCTTGGTCTAAAAAATAAAATAAAAAATAATATGAATATTCAAGAGTAAATGTCGAGAAAAAATAAATTACATAATTAAATAATTAATGCGATTAAATATGATTCAAAAATCAGCAAGATGAGACACCACCTTCGATTGTTTACAAAAAGACCGGAAAAGATAGATTGTTCATAGAAAGAAAAAACTTTAAAATTGAATGTTGTGTGGAACGCCGTTGATAATATAAAAAAATATTTTTTAATTAAAAAGAAGCAGAGTAGAAGAACGACAAAGGATTACTTTTTTTTTCACAACAATCAAATTGTTTTACGATGACATCATAACATGAGTAATATTTGTTCACAAACCTAGGCTGGTGCCCAAAATGGTGTATTTATCTGCTTATCTTCCCATTTTTTGTTTCATTCATGGATATATCCGTGGTTTCATTTGCTAACATTTGCTTATTTATGGCCAAATTATATGCACGTTGTTGATACTACATTCGTGTGTGTAGACAGTATTGTTGCAATAATTTAAAAATTTTGATCGTTTCTGAAAGTATTGAAAGCTGTTTGGACAGTTATACATCGTGTCTTCTCTGGTAGGCAAAATACAAAGTAACCCACTTTAATTACCAATACCGATACCGACAAATGAAAGAGGAACAGCATTTTAATTTCTTTACAAAAACAAAATCAAAAACAGAAAGAGAACTTCCCCTTCGACAACAACATCAAAAAATAATTCAATGTGTGTGTGCTGACGATATAATAAATGTTAGAAGTTTCAAAACTGTGATCAACACTATAGAATCGTAAATAAACTATTGGTTTTTCTAAGGCACATTACGTATGTGTGTATGTATGTATGGTATGTGTGTATGCATGCATGTATGTATGTATGTATGTGTGTATGTATGTATGTATGTATGTATGTATGTATGTATGTATGTATGTATGTATGTATGTATGTATGTATGTATGTTAAAACCAAATCAGCGATGAGTGACACTAAACAGTCAAACATCTGAATAAAATCGGTTAACAATTGATATCTCGTTATTCGTATGAATGAATGTATGTATGTTTGTATGTATGTATGTATGTATGAATAAATATAAAATTCAGATCATTGAATAGAGCAATAGAACGTGAAGAACAAACCAGTGAAAAAATATTACACTACAAACTTTTGCAACGGTGCCAAAAAACAAGCTGAGATTGCGTTAATTTCAGAACAATAGTAATAACAATAATAATAATAATCATATTAACAATAATATTTTAAAAAAATATTTAAATTTCAACTAAAAACCAAAATTTGTTAAAACCAAAAACTAGAAAACATGTAAAATAAAATACTCCAATAAACCAATAAAAACTCAGTGCACAAATCAATCTTTTAATATCATTTAGAATATGCATATATATATATATATATATATATATATATATATATATATATATATATATATAACTTTAGCTATATATCTATAAATAAATGTTTATAAACACAATATAAAAATAATGCAGAGATATTGGGTAACTGTGAGACGAAAGAAATATTTTAAAAAATCGAATGAATGATTGATTGAATAAAATGTAAATAAATATATATATATATATATATATTTAAAAATAAATAAGAATATATATATCGCATGAATATCCAATTCATAATCGGATAATGATGATATGTAGCCATTTACATGACATTATGTATATAGGTTAATAAGGCGTTGTACAGACAAATTCTTTCGTTTTTTTCAAAATATGAATTTAATTATGAAGATAATAATAATAATTATGTTATTATAAAAAAAGAACTCTTAAAAAAATGGTGAACTGTTTTGTCCTGACGATAATAAATCAAGAGTAGCAATAATATTATTATAACTTTAAAAATTTAAATAGTCCACAAAGGACATATATTGAATTGTCAATAAGAAAATTGATTATTGATATATTGAATTGTCAATAAGAAAATTGATTCTTTCTTAATTATGATTTCTCTATTTCTCTCCTCCCTCCCTCCCTCTCTCTCTCTCCCTCCCTCTCTCTCTCTCTCTCTCTCTCTAGCTACTTCTTTCCTTTTTATTTTACTTCATACGTACTCAGTATCAATCATCATCTTCCTATAATTATCATAATTTCTTTCGCTCTCTTCTCCCTCTCTCTCTCTCACTCTCAAACAAGAGATTTCATACTTAGATCATTATCTCCTCCAACAACAATATTCATCCTGCTGATAGCAGCGTTGTTGTTGTTGTTGTTGTATCTCTGCTGTTTGGGCTGAACTTTTGTATACAACTGATTCAGACTTAAGTTGCTGTTGTCAATGTTGTTGTTGTTCATGTTACTGTTGTTGTTACTGATGATGTTGTTGTCGTTGTTACTGATGTTGTTGTTGTAGTTGCTGTATTGCAGGCTGTCATTCGAATAGCCAGGTAGTGTTGTAAAAGTAGTGTTACCAAGAACGGTATTACCATAGTTAATATTATTATTATTATTTATATTATTATTGTTGTGGTTGTTGTTGTTGGGAAAAATAAAATTGCCTGTTGGAAAGTGTGGTTGTTGTTGTTTATTATTATTATTATTATTTGGCCTGTAGGTACCAACAACATTACCATTATTAATATTAAAGTTATTATTATTATAATTATTAAAGTTATTATTATTATTATTATTAATATAATTATTATTATTGTTAAGTTCCATGTTTTGTAGCACGTCCAATGCTATATCATCATCGTTCACCTTGGTAAATTATGAATGAGAAAATTATGCGTAAACTCATAATTACCATCAATTATTAATTATATTAGTAATTATATTAGTAACATTTAAATTATTATTAAAATTATTTAAATTTTAACTGAAATATAAATGAATAAATAAATAAATATAATATGAAATAAAGACTCCTACTGTTGATCTTTCGGCAGTCATCTTGTCCCCTATAAAAATACAACATAAAAATATATTTATTATTATTATACCATTGTTGTTGTTATTATTATTATTATTAATGTTATTAGTGCTGTTATTATTAGCGTTTACGTAAGTAAAAATGAAATGAAAAAATAAATACTAGCCAATGGAATAATTTACATTATATTTGCTGTTGTTATTGTTGTTGCTATAAAATGTATTAATGTTATTATTATTATTGTTTTTGCTGTTGTTATTGTTGTTGTAAACGATGGTGTTATCCTGGTAGTTACGGCCCTGGTTCATGATTGGTCGGTTGATTGTATTCTCAGCCGATGACTTGCTCCTATTGGATGAATTTCGAATTTGAATTTTTAATTTTGGCACAGTAGTTTATAAATGAATCAACCAACCAAACGTTCGAACAACAAACTATTCAATCAATGAACAATAAACCAATAAATCAACCAACCAACCAACCAATCAATCATTAATCCAACCACCCAACCAACTAATTAGTCAAACAAACCCAGTAGTGTTAGGGGCAAAAATGAAATCAGTTGCTTTCCAGCCATTCCTCTTCAGCTCATCATGAAATTCGCTGTATCTCCAGATCTTTTGGAGGATCTATTAAGAAGGAATTTGGTTGATTGATTTTTGAATGGTGAATTTTGGTTGGTTAGTTTAATTTCGTATGATGTGAGTTGATTGGTTGAGTTTTGGATGGTGAGGTCTGAATGGTTGATGATTTTTGAGCAACAGTCAATCGTGTTTAGACGTTTTAGATGGATGGTTTTGTTTGGGCGAATAAAAATATGGTTGAATGATTAATTGTAACATAATTGCCTGAAGTTTAAATTGATCATGTGAGAACGCAATTCATCTTAAGCGATTTGATTGTTTGAACAATTGAAATGAAAGTTTGCAGAACGATTTGACTGATCGAGTTATAGGTAGTGAGAAAGCAGGGATGCACCTGCTTGGCGTATCGAACCACTCTTTCGTCGAATATGCCCGGAGGTGCCCGGGTTATGTTCATCAAACGCTCAACTCCGCCTTCTTTTACGAAGATTCTATTTTTAGATATTTCAAATTTTAATTTATCACATTCCATTTATAGATACTTTGAAGTTAAATTCATTCATACCCTATTTTTCAACATTCTTCAAATGTCAAACTCATGACCTGCTACTGCTACAAGATGTTTCAAGTTACGATTTGCTCATTATCGATTTTTGATATTTTAACTTTAATTTTTTTTCACGAATTCACAACTTTACATATAATAAAATACATAAACAGTACACCACAGACAGACAGACAGACAGACAGATACACACACACACACAAATGCGCACACACCTAGCAAAAGTGGAATTAGATTTAATAATATCATAGAGGGTCGACTCAATAGCGGCCAGGGTATCATTGGATAGTATGAACTCCGTCGGCTCAGCTGACGTTGGCAGCTTATTCGTCAGATCTTTTGTCGCGTATTTCCCTGAAGGAAGTTTTTGATTACTTTTTGTATTTTTTAACAACAAAGACAAACAAATGTAGAAATTATTTAAATTTCACAGAAACCAATGTGATCTTTATTCTTTTCATCGATGGCCAAGTTCCTGAGAGCGGTAGCTGCCGAATAAATGACTCTATCAGATGAGTAACTAAGTAAGGTGATGATGGTCAGTAAGCCTTGGTTCTGTCTGACTGCCGATCTAATATCAACAGATGGCTGCAGTGGTCGTTTTGTGATTGGTCAATGAGTGGAGAGTTTTAAATGTCGTTTCGTGATTGGTCAATGAGTGGGGAGTTTATTTTAGATGTCGTCATGTGATTAGTTAAAAATTAGAAATATCTTCAACGATTGGTCAGTGGATGGGGTTTAGAATTTTAACAAAAATATTTTCTTTTATTAACTAGCCAATCCACACAACCCCCCTAAACTGATTGGCCAACAAACCTGCCAATCACAGGCAGCCAAATTTTGAATGGCCCCCGCTGTTGCTTCGACCGTGTCAGGGTTGCTGCACTCTTTCAACAGGGGCAGATATATGTCCAGTATTCTTGGCGACCACAAGTACGTCATGTCAGAGCTCGATTTTGATTGGTCGTTTCTAGATGTGTCGTAATGTGATTGATTGGTGAGAGGAGAGTTAATTTAAAACGCCGTTATATGATTAGTTGGTGAGAGCTGCATGGTGGAATCAATTAAAAAAGAAGTTTCAATAAAAATATAGCATTATAACTAATTGTAACAACAACGACAACAACAACAACAGCATTAGCATCAACCAAAAACACCGACAACAACAACAACAAGATGAACATGGAGGTCGGACCCAGGCATCAGATTATTTCTCTGAGCTTCAGTCTTGTACTTGCTTGATGACTTTGACTTGTTACCGAAGCAGCCTGTTTGTCCATCTTAGATGCGTTTTAATGACTATAATTAATTTCAAATGGTAAAATATCACAAAAACTTAAACAAAACCGACGAAACTCTGCAACTGAATCAACATTGAATGGAATAAAACTTAAATAAAATTAAAACCTGCAAGCACATAAGCACCTATGAAAAAATCTGAAATTTTTTTTTTAAATCTTGCCCCACGCCCCACTAAAAAACTTTCCCCACCTTTCACAGATGGCGCTAAAAGTCGATGATTCAGATAGTCCGGATCGGCGACCTCCTGGCAGGCATAGCTCAAGTTCCTGAGAATGCAAACGCAATTTTCCACGGATTTGTTATCGCAATCCTGATTGGTCAGAGCCACACCAATCACGAAGGCCAAACTCCGAATGAGACCTTCACATTCACGCATTTTTTTGCGCGCGTATTCGCCATCCGAGCTTACGTTCCTGTAATGTTTATTTATAGAAAAACATTTTTTCGAATTCCTATTTAAGGATTTATATAGCGCTTCACATGAAAGTTAATTTCATACCTCAGGACTCCACTGGCGTTTCTAAAAATGGTAGATCTATAATGTGGTTTGTTACCGTTGTTGTTTGGATCATTAGGTAATGTCTGACTAGGCACCCTACCCCAGCCAGAATAAGGAGTTATGATTTGGTCGAGTAGTGTTTTCAGACCTTCATCTATAATGTGTCTCTTGATATCCTATGATATGTGGTGGTTGTGGTAGTTATGACGATAATAAGGTGACAATGAGGGTGATGATGCAGCAATAATTTATTCATTCAAGCACTTATCAATCAATTCATCCATCATTCATTTACGAATCTACCTATTCATGTTCATTCATTCATTCACTGAAAATACTCTACAGGCAATGAATGCACATCTAACTAAACTCACCGAACATGACGAAAGGTTCCAAATGATACCGGTTACGATTTCTAAGATTTCAAGATCTGATGTTTTCCTGACTAATCTTACTAGCGTTGTTATTCCGCCTAAATTCTTTATCTCCCTCTTGAAAAAATTGTTCAAAAGTTATCAAATGTTTCAAAAGCCTTAAAATATTTTAAAAACTTTTAAAATGTAAGAAGAACTTCGGAAAAATTTTTCAAAAAACTCCAAATTTTTTGCAAAAATCATAGAATCAATGGATTCAAACAATTTTAACCAACTATTACGCCATCTAGTTGTTATAACTGAACAAATAACCCTAACCCTTCCCAACCACCTTATTGTCATCATTGGCGCGTCCATATGAAATATTTCTTAGGGCCCCACATGCAGCCCTATGAACCTCGACGGATGGGTGGTTGACTAATTCCAAGAGGGGTGGAATTCCCCGGAGTACCCTATAAATAGAAACAGGGATGTGCGTCAATATATATTAACTTTTTAGAAATGAAAATAGTAGATTATTAAATAATAATTATGACAAAGTCAGTAATTTTACGAATCAACATTTTTCAGCAAAGAAAAAACTACAGAAAGACACATGTACACATGCAAATACAAATACAAGTAGACACACACACACACGCACACACACACACACACACACACACACGTACACGTACACACACACGTCAACCTGGTCTGAACTTTAACATTATCATCCATGTAACAGAGGTGCTGCAAGTAAGCAGCCGCATTGGTCTTCACCACATCATTGTGGTGGCTCAAGAAGTCGATGACCTCTGAGAGTTCTGGCTTCTGGACGCCTATGTCCAAGTCTGCAAGTTATTTTTAGATTAAAAATTGGGTCAAGTTAGGTGGCTTAAGATTGAAAGAGAAACTAATTTAAACCAACCAACCAACCAACCAACCAACCAACCAACCAACCAACCAACCAACCAACCAACCATCCAACCAACCATCCAACCAACCAACCAACCAACCAACCAACCAACCAACCAACCAACCAACCAACCATTATTATTATTAATGAAATGATTGGCAGACTGTGGTCTGTTCAGGGCGGTACTTGACTGAGGTCTGTAGCTGCTGTTAAGTAGGCCAGGGGGGTCCAAAGATGCTACATAGGGAGATATCCTTTTGTCTGTACAACAACAACAATAATAACAACAACAATAACAATAATAGCAATATAATTAAAAATAATAAACCTATGGTAGGATTATTTGACATTCTTGAATAAGTTCTGTCAGCGGTTGGATTAACATTGCTGCTGTTGTTGTTGTTTCCTTTGGAAATTTCATTATTATAAGTTATTACGCAAGCATACATACATTAATACATACATACATACATACATACATACATACATACATACATACATACATACACACATACATACATACATATACCCACAAACACGCACACAAACACTCACACACACACACACACGCAGGCATTCCTACATACTTGATGATGGTACTCTAGCACTCCCAACTCTGTCTTTAACAAGTTGCTGATGTTGCTGCTGTAAGATAGTTTTTTTTATGAGGTTATAATTAATACAAACACACACACACATACAAACAAACAAACACACACAAATATATATTTAAAAAACACTCACATATATACAAATAAAACACACACATACATACAAACATACATGTAATACATTTTTCAAGTTGAAACACACACACACACACACACACACACACACACACACACACACACAAACATAAATTTTTAAAAAATTTATTAAAATTTAAAAAATATACAAACAGCATCAGCTGCCATAAGTTCAGTAATTCTCGAAGAATTACTAATCCTGTTGATGTTGTTGTTGTTGTTGGTTTTGGTGATGTTGTTGTATGGGTAGTTGTTGAAAATGTTGTTGCTGCTGTTCTCCAATAAACTGGTGTTGTTTAGGAAACTTGCGTTTGTGTTGTTGATGTTGTCTGGGAAGTTGTTGACGTTTGAAATGTGGTTCGGAAAGTTGTTTGGATTCAAAGAGCCGGCAACGCTACTGGCTTCTGAAAAGTTTCGTGAAGATGGTCTGAAATTTAAATTTGTGTTATCGAAAAATCTGTTGTTGTTGTTGGTGGTGATGCTGTTGCTGATGCCACTGTAGTTGTTGTTGGCATTAAAGCTTCTGTTGAAAATGTTGTTGTTGCTTGGAAGAAAATCATTTTCGCTGTGAATAAAAGTGATAAATTAAAAACACACACAAGTACAAATACATATATTTATATATGTACACACACATATGTACACATACATATATATACATATATATAAATTTACATGTATTACCAAATAGTAATTTAATACCTAAAGCAGAGAAGCTAAGCAAATATTGGTATTTCAATAGATATTATTTACAAATTTAAATAATGTATGTATGTTATATATACATATAAATCAATATATATATATATATATATATATATATATATATATATATATACATCCATGTATATTACATATGTTCATGTGTATGTATACATATACTTATTGATTCAATTTAAACAAAATAAGTTGATTGATTTTAATTTTACTGACCCTGCATAATAATTAGGTTCACTAATTTCGTTCTGGTATCTTCCATGATCAGGGATGTGCCTGAAATTAGAGTTGGGGTCCATTGCCATCATCCTCGCTCTCATCCTTCTGTCTCGTTCTTCTTGCAGCTGTTCATCTTCCTCATCATCATCATTGTTGAAATCATCATAGTCACTTGCGTTGTATGGGCCATCGTCGGCCAAGTTCAAAAGGTTCACATTGTTAGTGTAGTAATTAGATGGTATCATGGTGATTTTTTTTTAATTTGAAAAAAGTTTATTGATCAACCTTTTTATTGTTTAATATATTTTTGCACCTTCCTGTTTTCAATTTAAAAAAATTTTACTCACAAATTTTAATTTAAACTCTATAATATGGACAGTAAACTTTTAAAATAACTTTGCCATGTGATTCTTCTGCCAAATATTACGCATATATTATTAACACATGATTTTATCAATTCAACAGCAGAGTGTGAACAACAAACACAAAAGTACACTCCTTATTTGAGGTAATAACGTGTAACAAAATCAAAATAACATAAATGCATATAATAGAGAATGGACTACACTACTATAGCACAGGACACATTCAAAAACGGAAGCACTAATTAATAAATTCAACAAAACATCAACATTATCCGTCACTTAGTCACTAATGAATAAGTAATAGAGAGTAGAATTAATTAGGAATAGAATAGAGTTTAGCTAGTTTTATAGTTAGTATTACTATTAATTACCATATTTACATTGATTAGTTAGAGGGCATTAGACTAGCAATTATTAGTAAATCAACACAGTAGTAAATTTAGGCATAAATAACCCCAAGAGCCATTTATTTACCGTTTATTGTACTGCTGTGTTGTAAATTTGTTGCGTGACTAACTCACTAACAAGCGCCAACAAAATCAAGAATTCCAAAAATTCATTGTTTACCTTTTGGCTAGCTAGTGACTGCCACCATTATTTATTATTTTGAAATTTATCGTACGTGTGGTTTGAATTAGAAAATTAGGTGGTAAACGCAATTAAATAAATACAATTTTAAGTGTTTTTTTCTCTAAATTTATGAGATAAAGTGATTAAAATGAGTTTTAAAGGTGAATTTTGATGAAAATAAATTTGTATTTACTCATTCACACCTGTTATTTATAACTAATGCCACTTTTAAATAAAATGTAGTTTAATGAAATGCTTAGGCGCTGTACTAACTATTGTTCAGGGCGAATGACATCACTTTTTCGATTAAAAACTCATTAAATAGTTGTTAAAAAATTTATTTTATTAATTTTTTGTTAAAAACGTTAAAATACATAACGTAAAAATGCAAGTATGTGTTTAAAAATATGTATGATCGTTTAACCAAAAATTCTATTCCTGCAATTCACTTGTAATAATAATTTTAAAATGAATTAAAATTCACTTTTAAATTTTTTGTTTATATAGTTTAACTTTTCATTTTTATTATATAGATTTAAAAATAAATAAATATCTTTAATTTTACCTTTTAAAACATTTGAAAGTTTTATTTATTTTATTGCAAATATTTGAAAATTTACATAAAATTAAAACTTTTAAATATCCTTAAATATAAAAACCCACAAAAACATGTCACCAATTTTAATGATGATGGCAGTTGCCTTTCTAATTTTTCTAATTTTGAAGGGGAGTTTTTTTAGTGTGGTTCTCGCTGTGGATAGATCGAATTTTAAGACATGCTTGCAAAGTTCCTTTTGTCGGTAAATAAAAGAATAAATTCAATTTTATTATAAATTGCTATATTTTGAATTTTCACTTTTATCCAATTTTTGCTTATTTTTTTTACCTAATCAAGTTTTTTATTCCTATTTTTCTATCAATTTAGTGACTTCAGACATAAGGAGTTTGCACCCTACATAGCTCTACCAGAGACAATCACAATTGAGAAAACAAAAGTCAGAGGAATTCTGAAGAATAAAATCACAAATGATGAAAATTTGGAGTTTCAGTTGTACAGTTATGCTGATAAAACTATCAGGCTGAAAATAGTTGAACTAAACCCTCATAGGCCTCGTTACGAAATTCCCCAAGGAGATGTGCTTCTGGAGTTGCAACCATTGCAGTATGAAGCAATTAATTTATTTATTATATACTTTGTTTATTTTCAAATAGTATTTTTTTTATTTTCATTGTTTAAGTTTGTACATACACACACACACACACACAGACACTCATACATACTTACATACATACATACATACACGCAAACACACACATGCAGAGACACTCATACATACACATACACACATAACTAACTATGCTGATACAACCAACCAAACAACCATGCACACACACACACGCATACATAGGTTTCAAGTAACAGAAGGCGATGAAAACCACATTGAATTAACAACCAAAGAACTTGTTACAATAACAATTCGATATAATTTATTTTCTTTGGAAACTTTCTACAAAAACGTTCCAATGGTGCACGTAAACAAGCAACAAATGCTACACGTGGAAAAAACTCAGAAAGGAAAAAGGTTAATGAGAATAAATAAGGCTGGATGTGATGGCTTAATGGTTAAGGTACTTGGCTCCGTTGTTGCAGTGACCACGTCCGAATGCAAAGAGATCCAGCTAGCAATGTTCATGAAATGTGTGTTGATTCACATTCACATGGAAATGTGTGTTGATTCACATTCACATTCACATTCACTGCTGCTGATTTCAATGCTACATTCATTAAGGGAGAATTTTCTCTCAATAATATTTTTAATTATAATTTTTATTATTATAAATTTGCATTATTATTAGCCCGAAACATTGGACCGGCTGGTTCTCATGGATTTGGAGTGGTGGTGATGATGATGCAAACGCTGTTGACGACGATGATGATGATGATTCGCAGGTTAATTATAATATAAATTATAGTTATTTTAATAATAATAATAATTATATAAATAATTTTAAATTTTTTCTTTAAAGAAAAAACATCAGGAAGACTGGACTGAAATGTTCCACTCACATAAAGATACAAGACCACATGGTGTGTCTGTGTTCGTTCGTTCGTTCGTTCGTTCACTCGCTCGCTTCCTCGTTCGTTCGCTTCTGTGTGTGTTTGTTCGTTCGTTCGTTCGCTCGCTCGCTACCTCGTTCGTTCGTTTCTGTGTGTGTTCGTTTGTTCGTTCGTTGGCTCGGTTGTTCGTTCGTTCGTTCGTTCGTTCGAATGTGTTTTATAATCCTTTGTTGTGGTTAACATTTAACTAGCTATTGATGGTACTATATGGTACTAGATGGTACTAATGTATGCAAACATACATACAAACATACATACATACAAACATACATACAAACACGATACATACAAACACGATACATACAAACAAACATACATACAAACAGGCCCCAGTTCAGTTGGACTGGATGTCGAATTCATTGGATTCAAGCACCTGTACGGCCTACCTGAACATGCACACATTAACTTGCATCTGCTCTCTACCACGTTCGTTGCCGTGACGACGACGACGATGATGATGATGATGACGACGATGATGATGATGACGACGATGATGATGACGACGATGAGGATGACGATGTTGATGATGGGTTGATTTGAAAAACGCTGAAGTCAATCCTTGCTTCATTTTTGCTATCCATCCTTATTTCATTGTCACCATTACAAACATCATCATCTGTTACCACCACCACCATCGTCATCATCATCTGCAACCACCATCACAGCCATCCTCCTCATCATCATCATCACCACCACTGTCTTCCCCACTGTCCAGGCACGACGAGCCATACAGGTTGTACAACTTGGACGTGTTCGAGTACGAGCTGAACAACAACATGGCCCTCTACGGCAGCGTACCTTATATAATCGCTCACAGGTTCTATTATTATTATTATTATTATTATTTATTATTTATATTATTATTATTATTATTCGCCACCACCATCATCTTCAGTGCAAAGTGGACGGTTGGAGTGTACTGGAACAATCCAACTGAGACCTGGGTCGATGTTGATCACAAGAAGGATGAGGTTATCAGGATGGTGATGATGATGGTGGTGATGATTGTGATGATGATGGTGATGGTTATGATGGTCAGTTTAATCATCATCATCATCGTCGTCGTCGTTTCATCCTCATCACAGACATTATTATCATATAAAAAATATATTTAGGCTCATTCTCATTGGCTGTCGGAAAGTGGCATCATCGACCTATTTATAATGCTTGGACCAATGGCAGACGAGCTTTTCAGACAGTACGCCGCCTTGACTGGCACAACACCCTTGCCACCGGTAAGCTTTGTGATTGGTCGGTCTGCTGCTTCTTTGCTGATTGGTTGGTTGATTTGTTAGTTATTGCTGTTATTATTATCATCAGCGTCGTCAATCCATTATCCATTTTTCAGTTATTTGCCATTGGATATCATCAATCTAGATGGAATTATATGGATGAAAAAGATGTCTACAGGTTATGATGATGATGGTGGTGGTGATGATGATGACAGTGGTGGTGATGATAATGATTACGGTGATGATGATGACGATGGTTTTTTTTTATTACCAATACTGTTTTTGATAATTGGCATCGTCATTATTTTCAAAAACAATTATCACAACCACCATTAATAACATCATCGTCATTATCATCATCTTCGTCGTCATCATCATCATCATCGTCACCATCGTCATCATCATCATCGTCACCATCGTCATCACCATCATCATCATCGTCGCCATCATCGTCATCATCATCATCGCCAGCGTCATCTTAGGCTTCGACGCCAACAACATCCCACTGGACGTCCTCTGGTTGGATATCGAACATACAGACGACAAGAGGTTATCACGATGATGACGATGACGACGATGGTGCTGATGATGATGATAGTAATAACAATAATGAGAATATGCTTTTATTTTCATCTCAAAGCCCACATTGTAATTATAAAGTTAGAGTAATAAAACTTATAATGTAAATTATTGTAGATATTCTACAATGCTCGCCATACATTTTAAATTGACACAGAGAGAAATAGAATCAGCATTAAATTATGTTCAAATCGTGTTCCTATCACAGTAAATTGCGTAAGATGACGATACTACGGTAATAATGATAATAGTAATAGTAATAATAATAGTAATAATAAGTGGTCTTGATAATCGTCCTCGCCAGATATTTCACTTTCGACTCGAACCGTTTCGGCAACCCCAAGAAGTTGTTGGACGATGTCGCACTGACCACCAGGAAGATGGTCGCGGCCGTCGACCCGCATTTCAAAAAAGATACTAAATATAAAGTGATGACGACGATGATAATGATGATGATTTTGAAAATGACGACGATGAAGATGATGATGATGACGGTTACATTATTCAAACTGGACTTCTTCATAATCGCTGTTATTACCATCATCATCGTCATCATCGTCGTCGTCATCATCATCATTAATTATATAGTACCATCATCATCACTATCATCACCATCATCACTATCATCACCATCATCACTATCATCATCATCACCACTATCATCATCATCATCACTATCATCATCATCATCACTATCATCATCATCATCACTATCATCATCATCACCACTATCATCATCATCACCACCACCGTCGTCATCATTATCAGCAATACAGCAATGCAAGAAGTTCGGATCTGTTGGTGAAGGATAGGGATGGCAACGAGTACGAAGGCTGGTGCTGGCCTGGTGGGTCATCATCATCATCATTATTATTATTATTATTATCATTATTTTTATTATTTCATTATTTTTATTATTATTGTTGTTGTTGTCGTTATAAGGGTCATCAGCCTGGCTGGACTTCATCAACCCGGAGGCCAGGAAGTTTTGGTCCAATCAATTTCTCTACCACAACTACGAAGGTTAATAATAATAATAATAATAATTCAGTAGTAGTAGTAGTAGTAGAAGTAGTGGTAGTAATTGTTGTAGTAGTAGTAGTAGTAGTAGTAGTAGTTGTGGTAGTAGTAGTAGTAGTAGTAGCAGCAGTAGCAGCAGTTGCGGCAGCAGCAGCGATATACAAGCAGTGATAGTTCTTCTTTCTTTTGTGGCCGGCCGGCCGAGGCAGGTTCAACGAAGGACCTGTACACTTGGAACGACATGAACGAGCCGTCGGTCTTCAACGGACCGGAAATAAGCATGCATCGAGACGCGCTGCACTCAGCTGGCAGCATCGAACATCGTCAGGTTCATAACATCTACGGCCTCTATGTGGTGAGGACGACGACGATGACGATGATGATGATGGTTGTGATGATGATGATGGTGATGGTGGCGGTTGTCATGATGATGATGATGATGGCGGTTGTCATGATGATGACGATGATGATCTATGATATCACCCCCAGCAAAGGTCAACATTTGAAGGTCACTTACTTAGATCTAAAAATAGAACACGTCCATTCGTTCTTTCTAGAAGCTTCTTTGCCGGGTCCCAGAGATATGGTACAGGAGATGGGGATGAAGATGATGATGAGGATGTTTTTTGTTATTGTGTTGTTGTTGTTATTGTAATTAATGAAAATGGCTGACATGCTAAGAACAGCCAACCAATCACGAAACACATTCAAACTGACTCAAAAAATTAATCGACCAATCAGGAGCAGTGTGGACTGGCGACAACGCAGCTGATTGGTCGCATCTCGAAGTTTCCACGTCCATGTTGTTGACCTTGAATCTGGTTGGCGTGACTTTCAGCGGAGCCGATGTTGGCGGCTTTTTTAGAAATCCGTCTGCTGAGCTGCTCACTAGATGGTACCAGGTTGGTTGGCTGGCTGTGATTGGTTGGCTGGCTGTGTTTGGTTGGCTGGCTGTGATTGGTTGGTAGGTTGGTAGCCATGATCACGACCACCATGACGACTACCAGGCGGCGACCTACCAGCCCTTCTTCAGAGCACATGCTCACCTGGACACCAAGAGGAGGGAGCCCTACCTGTTCGATCGCTACCACATGACCATCATGAGAGAGGCCATCGTCTCGAGGTAATAATTATCATTATTATTATTACAAATCGTCCTAATTAACATAATTTATGCGAAAGGTACCGCCTACTGCCGTATTGGTACCTGCTTTTTTACCAGTCCGAAACGAGCGGTATGCCGTTAATGAGGCCTTTGTGGGTGGAATTCCCGGAGGTTATTTATAAATTTTTAATTATACTAATTATAATGATAATTATTATCATTATTAATTATGATTGTAATTATAATTATGATAATAATAATTATTATAACAATTTCAGAGCGAGGACACGTTCGAGATATACAACACGTACATGGTTGGCAGTTCAATTCTCGTTCAGCCTATCGTGAAGAGCGCTGTTAACGTTGTTAGCGTCTATCTGCCTGGCTGCCATGAGGTTGTTGTGGTTGCTGCTACAGCTGCTGCTGTTGTTATTGTTATTATTCTTATTCTTATTATGTTATTATTATTCTTATTATTATTACCATCATCACCATCATCTCAACAGATATGGTACGGTGATTCCTATGAAATTTTTAAAGGCTGTCAAGTCGTTGATGTGCCGGTAACTTTGGAAAAGGTCATCATCATCATCATCTCCATCGTCGTTATCATCATCTTCTTCATCTTCATCGTCTCCATCATCATCATCATTACGATCATCTTTATCATCATCATCAGATTCCAGTCTTTTATAGAGGAGGTTCAATAATACCCATAAGAGAGAGAATAAGACGATCATCATCATCATCGTCGTCGTCGTCGTCATCATCATCAGCTGCTTTGAACGATCCTTACTCATTGCTTATTTATCTCGACAATAAGGTCATCATCATATGATTATAATTTCGGTCATGATGAATGATGATTTTAATAATAATAATAATAATAAATAGAATTATAATAATAATAAATAATAATAATAATAAATAATAATAATAAATAATATTCCCTCTATTTTCTAACTCCAAATACCAAATATCAATAATGAAATAATTATAAAATCCTATTAGTCTAAAATGCTCGTCACTGCGAGTGAGTACATTTTAGAGGGGGCTGGTTTAATTGATAATAATAATAAATAATAATGATAATAAATAATAATAATAAACAATAATAATAAATAATAATAATAAATAATTATAAATAATTATAATAATGAACAGAATGAAGCGGACGGCTATTTTTACCACGACGACTTCAGCACGTACAAGTACAGAGATGGACACTTTGTGTATAGAAACTTTGTATACAGGAGCAATAATACAATCGTTTCTAGGTATGTATGTGTGTGTGTGTGTGTGTGTGTGTGTGTGTGTGTTTGTATGTGTCTGTGTTTGTATATGTGTTTGTATGTGTGTATGTTTGTATGTGTTTGTATGTGTGTTTGTATGTTTGTATGTGTGTGTAAATGTACGTTTGTATGTATTTAATTTGTAACGCCCTATCAGATCCCTTAATAAAGACAGCAAGTTCAAAAGTAATTCTTGGATTGAGAGGATATATATAATCGGTTTAGGGCAGCAACAACATCAACAACAACATCAACAACAACATCAACAACAACATCAACAACAACATCAACAACAACATCAACAACAACATCAACAACAGCAACAACAACAACAACAACATTCATACGACATCTATTTAATGAGTAATAATAAATCGAAAAGTAAGCATTTGCGATGAAAATTTATCATTAACATTTATCATCATCCTCATCTTCTTCATCCCAATCATCATCATCACCACCACCACCATCATCACCACCACCATCATCATCATCTTTGCCATCATCATCATCAGCTCAACTACAGTACCACTACGATGATGCTAAGAAGATGATGATCGTCAGAAAACCTGCCGTTAATGTAGATGATGATTTCGAAATAATAATTACTATGAATCGGTAAAAATTATAACTATAATTATAACTAAAATTATAACTATAATTATAACTATAATTATAACTATAATTATAACTATAATTATGATTTTTGTTGTTGTTGTTTACATTTGTTTATTCAAGCATTGTCATATTTGTTGTTGAGTTGTCTCAAAGTCCAAATGCTGTTACTTCTTATGCTTTTTTGTTATTGTCGTTGTTATCATGTTGGTATGTGTTTGTATGTTTGTATGTGTGTGTGTGTTTGTGTGTGTGTACGTGTGTTTCACGTGTTTTCACATTTTACACTGACGATGTTTTTATATAAGCAGTTTTTTTATTAAGTTAGTTTCGATGTTGTTAATTTTTTTTATTTCATTCAATATGTTTGCGTGTGTTACAATCCAATCGCAAAGTCCTTCATAAATTATTATTATTATTGTTGTTCTTTATTATTATTATTAATTGTTATTATTATTGTTTTTATTACAATTTCATGTTCACATGGGCGAATAATAAACGAACTATGACCAGATTTTTATTCATTTTTTTTTATTTCTCCGCTCTCTCTATCGTTCTGTCGTTCATTTTGGTTTCAACTTCTCTCTTTCTCTCTCTCCCTCTTTTTCTCTCTCTCCATCTCTATCTCTCTCTCTTTCATTTTAGTCTTGTCTCAACTTAATTTTTTTTCAGATATTTCGGATGAAAAGTTGAAAAAATTTCTCAAAATAAATAAATCGTTGATTTGTTGGTGTGGTTTAACGTTTTAGTTTCTGTATATTATTAATAGAAAATATTAAAAACACTAATAGTTATTATTACTTTTATTATTCTTTATTTCATAATTGATTTAATTTTCATAAAATGTTCTTATAAATGCAATTTTTCGGCGTAAATAAATTAATAAAAAGGTTTTTGAATGGGATTTGTACAACTTTCAGGAAATTTGTTACGCAAAGAAAATTTAATCGAATTAAAATTAATTTAAAAATAAGAAAAAAATAAATCACAGTTACAACAACATCAATAATAATAATAATAGTAATAATAATAATAATTCATAATTAGGTATTCTCCCTACAATGGCAATATCTCATTAGGCTGGGGGCGTATTCGGCCACACATTTCGACTTTTCTTTGTACTCGTTTAACCGACTGACTTCCCCGCTAAGTATGTGTCGGTCGGTAGAAACGGTTCCTTCGAATATACCACCTCCGGGTTCGGTTTCGAATGTTACTTGGAGGTACGGTCTCGTCGATTTCGGATAATTGCTGACGAAATTATCGGCGAGCCATCCTTTTTTGCTGTCAGTGCTGTGTGCGTACACCTGGGTGAATTATTATTGATGTTGTTGCTATTAATATTATTATTATTATTATTATCATGTTTAAATTGATGTTAGATTAGTGATGGGATTGTTCTCGGTATGGAAGATCGAGTTTGAAGTTTCGAAAGACGAAATACATACATGAAATCCTTAACGATTTCATGGCTGGTCAGGTGATTTTTACTTGAAATAACGGTTAATAATGATTGAAAAAATTCTAATTATCGAATGTTAACATTGAACTGGCACTTACTCTGTCATTAGGAATGACATATTTGGCAGAAATGACCTTTTTCAGGGTCAGGGTACTGCACACCTCGTTGCCATCCCTTTCGTGGATGACCCTATTCAGGTGGTTGACTAAGTGTAGGGCCGTATTGTTGATAACAACGTCACTTACGTTAGTTTTTGTGTCAAATTTGACGCATGCGCAGAAGTGTGAGTCAACATTTGCTGATTTGCAGGTTCTTTCCAGTGGGATGGGGTGGAATAAACTCGCGCCCCCACGTTTTTTGGGGTTTTTCAGGAGTACATGCTGATGGGGATTAATATAAGATACTGGTTGTACGGTGTGCCAGGAATTTTATACCAATCACAAACTTTTTATTTATTCCATAAAAATTTTTGCTGGGCTTTTCATGATTTAACGATCTTTTGCAATCAAATAATTTATTTATTTTTATTTAAAAGTTTAAATTTTAAAATTTATTGACTGTATAACATCATGTCAGCTCACCTTATTTTCAGTTATGTCAATCAACGTTCGCAGACTTTCGTAGAAATCAAAGGAGGTGGTCATTTTGTCGACATTTTTTGAGAAACTCATCAACAAATTTGGATGTTCAAATTTAAATTTGTCTGGAAATGAGACAAGAGCAAGTGGCAGACGTTCGTCTAGCAGACCAGACAGCTGTGTGGATCTGTCTGGACCTGTGTCTGGCCCGTGGTCGCCGACGACGATGACGATTGTCTCGTCCAGTTGCTGACGGTTCTGAAGGTTTTGCAGAAATGCGGCTACATCTTTGTCAATTCTGTTAACATTTTTGAAGGAATTTTATTAGTTATTTTACAAAAATGAGATTTTTATTTTTATTTTTCGAAAAATTAATTCGAAAAAATAAAAACTAAAGTAGGTATTTAACATTTTCACGCAAAATATTTAGCATGAAATGTCAAAAAAACCACACACAATCCTAACTTTTTCGTCTTTTCGAATTCGCTGATGTAGGCAAAGGCAAACGTCGACTTATTTTCATACTGATTGAAGAAGCTCTCCATGTATTCGAGCGTGTACTGGTGTTTGAGCTTGGAACCGAAACAGAAATCTGTGGCGTCGCTGGATCCGAGTTCGTATTCATCCCTCTCCACGGCCAGCCAGAATGATCTCATGTAATGGTTTGTCGGAGGTTCTTCAAATCCCTGGTGATAATTTTATTTCATATTTTACTACTAATGCTACTACGGCTACTACTACAGCAGCAACAACAGATATTTCTACTATTACTACTACCACTGCTGATAATAAGTATGATAATTAATAATAATTCCAACGTGGAAATGTTTCTGAAAGGGTGCATGGCCTCCTTGGTCTTCACTGAAGAAGGTTACGTAACCGTGTTGGTGGTAGTAATTCCATAGAAACGGTAAGGCGTTCAAGTATTGCGAATACTTGCTCTCTTTCTTTAGGTTCGGCAGTTCACTTTCTTTCATTCCTGAAGTTGTTATTATTATTATTCTTGTTATTATTATTATTATTGTTGTCGTCATCATCGTCAGCATCACAAATTTTAAAACCAAAATGAAAAAGTTTACTCCTTTTACTAACTAACCAGTCAAAAACGGAAAAAGCGCTGCCTCAGCCGATCTGCCAACTGCGTTATAGCCATTCAAAATATAGCTATCTCTACTACTAGCGAACTTAGCTAAGTTTTTAAAACTCGACTTATACGCTACTTGAGATAGCGTATTAATAGCTAGAACTAAGATGTTGTAGTAGGTATGGTTGGTTGCTGGTCTCACGATGTGTGAAAGGGAATCTATGGCTTTCTCTGTTTCGGACGCTTGAACTAGGATTTGGTGGTACGTTCGTTTTTCACTGGTTGTTTCGTCTGCTGTTGTGTGTGTGTATTTGTTTGTGTGTGTGCGTGTGTTTGTGTACTTGTGTGTGTTATATGTTGTTGCTTATATGATGTTTAATTAATCGAATGATGTATTCAAACTAACTTTGAGTTAAAAATTTCAAAGAATAATTCAAAAAACTTAATTTAACTGATTGAAAAATATAAAAATCAATATTTCGAAATATAACTTTAAAATTTAAAACATTCTACAGCAGGCAAACCTAACCGAAATCATCATTGTGATCCAGTTCTTGAGAGGTCTTCTTCACAGTTAACTGGCAGTAGATACTTATGAAGTCTTGTAATATATCCAAACTATCCATATGGCCATCAGTATCGTTACCAGCGACATCATTATCAACATCGTATTGTTGAAAGTGAGGCTGGGTGAGGCTAAACTCATCGTCGCTCAACCAATCGATACCGGTGAACTCGCACCAGTTCAACGTCTCGTTCGGCAGCAGGTTGCTCCGATTTAAAACAACGAGACCTCGATCCGAATAAAATAAATCAAGTCGGTTATTCGTTTGGCATTGTCGGTTGGTATCGTCGGTTTCGTTGACCCATTCAGCGCTGAAAACATTATTCGATATCATTTCTTCATCAAAGCTACAGAATCTCGCCTCGTTAGAATCGTTATCGTCGTTATCGTCGAATAACCAGAACATCCCTGCTACTCGACTTCGATTACCGAAACCGTTTCGAGATTTCTTGTCACCGGACCAGCTGGTGATACCTGAGTAAACTACGAAGATGGCGATGAGGAAGAAGATGAGGAGGAGGAGAGCGGTACAGATGCTTGATTGACAGCATCTCGACACGTATCGTTTCGTTATCTCTAACGCTTTCGTCGTTCTACTCGGTGCTGGTTCTGTTGGTGTTGTTAATGAATGAATGAATAAATGAACGAACGAGTGAACAAAACGACAAACGAATGAACGAATTAAAGAATGAACGGATTAGCGAACGGACGAACGAGTGAACGAATGAATGAATTTGCTGAAAAAAGATTAGAACATATAATAAATATTAATAAATTAAACTTTATAATGAAACACATAAAGACTTGCTTGAAGAAGTTGACAGAAAATGATGATCCATTACTAGTTCTTATTAATAACCGTTCGATATTTTCATTATATATACGTTAAAATATTAATATTAATAACAATAGTAATAACTGCGTACGTATGGACTTAGTTTATATAGGCACAGGTCTAAAGATTTAAAATGTCATTTGATATGATTGATTGATTGAATGAGTGAAGGAATGAATGAGTGAGTGAGTGGATGAATGAATGAATCAATGAACCACTGACTGACTGACCAACTGATCGGTGAATGAATGAACGAATACAAAATTAATGAACAAATAAACGAACGAATTAATGAACGAATAAAGGTATGAAGAAACGAATGAATGAACAAATGATGAATGAATACAAAACGGATAAACGATTGAATGAATGAATAAATGAAGGAACGAACGAAGAAATAATTGAAAAATTTTAAACAAATTCTAAACCCCGTTCAGATAAATCCATTAACTCCATTTTATGAGCTATTTCAATTTATACCAACAGATGATAATAACTAATTCATACAAATTAATAATAGTACTATTATCCTTGTTCCTCCTGAAATTATTTCTATATTATATTTATAGAAAATAAATAAATTAATAAATAATATATTCAAACTTATAAAATTTTGAACCGAAAATCTAACTACTGTTTCGAAACGAACACAACAACATCATCACCATTTACCATAAATATACTACATTACATATATATGAAATATATTGAAATATATTATATATATATATATATATAATATATTTCAATGATAATATAGATGATAATGTTATATAAGATACTGATAATATATAATGTAAACTCAAGATGATGAAATGATTGATGGATGGATGGATGGATGATGGATGGATGGATAGATGGATGGATAGATGGATGGATGGATAGATGATGATAATAATGAGTGTGATCATGATGATGACCGTGTTGATGATGATTGTGGTGATGATGGTGATGATGATGACGAAAGGTTGGTTACATTATGCTATGATGGTAGGTAATGAACTTTGTGATTAAGTTTATAAACTGACTTTTTCCCAGCGTTATTTGAATGAATGGATGAATGAACAAATGAATGAATGTATGAATAAATAAATGAATGAATGAATGGATTGGTGATGATTGGTTGAATAAATGAATGAATGAGTGAATAAAATAAATAATTTTATAAATGAACTAATAGAAATATATATCAAACTGAAAAACAATCAACATTATCATTTTATACGCATAACTTCATGCAAATAATAGCCAAAGTTATCTAAATTCAGTGATTTTGTGCTTAAACTGACATTCAACATTTTATCTTAAATATGAAGCGCTGAAGCATTGAAGCATTGTGATTCATCACAAAACTTAAATCCACTTTTATCTGTAAACAACTTTTCGCGGACTTTTTTCACCGTTTCGATTGCAAAGTGCTGAAAATTAAAGTTAGGAGTTGTGGATAGAAGTGAAAATGAGCGATTCGGAGAAAAAAACGAGAATTAATGGCTCACTGATGCCGAGCTATCAAAACGAAACTGTGTGTCTGCTTGGCAATGTTAATCATGTTAGTTAGAGGGATTTTTTTAAATAATAAAATAAAATAATTAATAAATTATTAATATTTATTTAAATTTAACATTAAAATATAGATAATTTAACTTTTAAATTATATTTTAAACTTATCAGGTGGACCCCAACGGGAATTTTTTTCAAATGACGACCAGCGACAATCAGAAAGTTGTTGTCAGGATGAATGAGCCAGTTAGTTATATATATATTTTTAAATTTAAAAATTTAAAACGAATAAATGAAAGAATAAGGTGAATGGTCAATGGATAAGTGAATTGATGAATGAATGGTTGAATGAATTGAAGTATGAATGAATTGACGGATTTTTTCAAATTTTTCAAATTTCTCTTTCAAGATCAAGGACATGTTGGATGGATTGGTAGAAGTTATCGGCGTTGTTACTAGGAATGAGATTCAATGCACTCAATACATATCTTGGAATCATATGGGTCCAAAGCCATTTGGTAAGTCGGTGTGTATGTGTCAATTGGGCCTGGTTTATTTGATTAGGAATTAAATTAGGGAAACCATTATCATTACTAAAGTTGCTGGTTAATGTTGTTATTGATGCTCATATGATGGTAGCTGTGATTGTTATTTTAAATGAACAATTTGAGAAGTTTTTTATTCTTTTATCATACAATCATTCATTCATTCATTCATTCATTCATTCATTCATCCATTCATTCAATTATTCATTCATTTTTTCCTTCTATCAATTTTATAAAAAGTAATTTTGAAAACATTATTTTAATAAAATATTTTCTTTCAGATATGGGTTCATATGATAAGGCAATTCAAATTATCCAAAGATACAAAGAACATTATATTACAATGTGATTGCTTGTTTGTTTGTGTGTGTGCGCTTGTATGTGTGCGTGCGCGTGTGTTTGTGGGTGCGTGTGTATGTTTGATTTTGGTTTTTCATTGTGATTTTCAAAACTGGCGATAATAATAATGACACTTGTCTACAACATATGAAAAGTCCTGGCTCGAGTTTTTTCTGCTGTTTTTATATTTTTGAGTGATGCTGATTCTAAATTTAATATCAGACATCATGTACCGGGTCAAGTTTTTGCACAGAAGACGATTCTTTCATCGAGTGCTCAAACGAAGTAACATTAACGTAGAATGAGAAATGTTTCGCAATAAACCAATTATTAAGTCGCTGGATTGTTATAAACTGTAGAAAATTGATTGGACGATATTAATACAATGTAAAAACATAAAATTTAAGTGTAGTCCTATTCATTCGTTTCTTCTATAAATCAAATCTATCCGCCGATAGAAATAAAATTCATTTAACAGGGAGAAATTTTCTCTCTTGATTTTCTTGAATATTTTTGTTAGGCTGGTGACGCTGTAGACACCGACGGAGGTCTGCCATCGCACTCGTGTTCCATCCTCTTAGACGTCTGCGCTCCGTCGTTTTGATGTCTTGGTGGGTGTTTTCAAACGATCTCCTTCACTCATGGCTCACGGGAAGTCATTGAAGTGATTATGAAGAAAATGCAATTTTACACTCACGATTGCTCTCAGAATTGAAGAGTTTTCGACAAATTCTTCACTAAAAGATCATAATTTGCTTCTTTGAAGTTTCCTAGAACGTCACTAATGACATCAGGCAACATGCAGGGCAGACCGACTGTGTGCCTTTCTGTGCTTTTCATGGCTCTAGCAAACTCTTAGTCTTTGACCTGGAAGGAGTCCGATTTGTGGACCCTGAAATATAATGACGTCATTTTAATACTATCTACCCACTATGTGATAGTAATTATTAGCCAATATGAAGCTTCTTAGGTATTCAATGTATAATATGCACTGGCTGTTTACATGTGCACACTGGCTTTCGGCGAAACTGCAGTACCTACAACCAGTTTCGCCAGCCATACTCGTCAATAATCATAATAAAGATATTGTTAATATTATTCTTTATATTATTATTGTTTTGGTATATTATTGTTATTTTGCGTGATTGATTGAATATCAACAATATTATTGTGAATAATGATGATGATTGTATATCAAGCAAACAGCGCTTTCGTGTTTCGTTCTCTTGGAATTGCGATTCCACGACTAATCTTTCAAAAAACACTTCGTTCTCTCTCTCTCTCTCTCTCTCTCTCTCTCTCTCTCTCTCTTTCTTTATCCTTTCTTTCTCTCTTTTTTCTTCCTCTCTCTCTCCTTCTTTTTCTCACTTTTTTTTTCACTCCATCTTCATTTTTTCACTCTATAGATTAGTGCGATTTTGATCGAGTTGGGAATGGCATGCCTGCTGCTGTGTGGATCTATTTTTGCATTTTAGAGAAAACATTTGAAAAAATATTCTGCTGTTGTTGTTATTATTATTATTACTATAATTATCATTATTAATAATAATAATAATATTATTATTATTATAAATTTCAGAAAAATTATTAATTTTATTTTTTGATATAATCTGCAAAACATGCTCTAAGACGAATCTTGCCAGTTTTACGTATGCATTGGGGTTTTTGTATGCGCGTGTGTGTGTATGTATGTATGTATGTACGTGTTTATGTATGTTTGTTTGTGTGTATGTGTGTATGTATGTTTGTATGTTTAAGTGTGTGTAAACTAATTATTAATCTAACTAATTAATATTAATTACTATTATCAATCTAACTTATTAGATTAATGTGAGTTCATTAGTTGATTGATTGATTGACTGGTCCAATGGTTGAATGATTGGTTTAAAAGTTGATTGGTTAATTTGCTGGTAGTTATAAGTGGGTTGATTGATTGATTGATTGACAGTAAATAAGATTTTTAAATTAGCAACAAGAAGCTCTAAATTTGGATGCAAATGAAGAACGAACAAATGTAATTAGACCGAAAAACATTATGTGTGTGTGTGTGTGTTTGTCTGTGTGTGTTTGTCTGTCTGTGTGTGTCTGTGTGTGTATTGTTGTATGGGTATGTTTGTATGTAGGAACTACAAAACCATGTATCTCAACCCTCACGTGTTTTTTTGCGTTCCGTCTTAATAGTACCGGTGTGTATCAAATATGAGAATACATACATTCATACATCAACATTTTCACACACATACACTGACACTAACACACTCACATAGGCATACACATAGGCATACACACACATCTACACACATACATTACATACGCCAAACAAACCCGTGGGTACAATGAGAGTACATATAAGTGGTATTAGAGAACATTAAGAAATTTTTCTGAATTGATTTTTATCTGCATTCTGCTTTTTATATGGAATGTACGTGTGTGTGTGTTCGTGTGTGTGTGTGTGTTTGTGTGTGTGTGTTCGTGTGTGTCTGTGTGTGTGTGTGTGTCTGTGTGTGTTCGTGTGTGTCTGCTGTGTGTGTGTGTGTCTGTGTGTGTGCGTGAGTGAGTCTAAGAAGTATGATTGATAATGTTGAGTATCGTTTGATTGATGCGTGCAATGGTCTATTGATATTTTGATTGGTGGGCTGGCTTCCCTATTTAAAGTTTAGTCTCTATGTATTTATGTAGTTATAAAAGGTTATGTTGTGCAGAGTTATATAGAGTTACTTAGAGTTATATAGAGTTACATAGAGTTATATGGGGTTAAATATAGTTATATATAGAGTTAGAGTTGGGTTATAATTTGTTCATACGTTCGATTTTTCCTGTTTTTCGTTTGTTTGTTTATTCTTTCGTTGTTCGTTCATTCGAACGTTTGTTTGTTTGTTCGTTCTTTCATTCGTTCATTCGTTCGTTCGTTCACTTGTTCATTTTTTGTATTCATTCATTCGTTCAGTCAGTCATTCACTCACTTTTCTTCAGTCACGTAATATCATTAATATGCCAATCACAGTTCTGTATTGAATCGTGGCGATGGTGATGATGCTGTTCTCTTGATGACGATACTGAAGAAGATGATGATAATGATGATGACGATGGTGACAGTAATGATGATGATGTTGTTGTTGTGGACGCTGTAGAATGTATTTCCGAAGAAAATTAGAACCAAAAACCACAAGAACGCTAGCATAATGCTGCTAATTATATTTCCTTTCATCATCACATTGAAAAAATATTTTTTGGGTTTGTTTGAAAATTGTTTTCAAATTTTCAAAGAAAAATGACATTATTATTTTTTTCCAATATATTCCTTTTCTTGCTTATACATCACCATCATCACCATCATCATCATCATCATCGTCGTCCTCATCGTCAGCAGCAACAGTAGCAGTAGTAGCAGCAGCAGCAGCAACAACTTCATCATTTTCATCAACGTCATCACCATAATCATCACCATCGTCGTCGTCGTCATCATCATCATCATAAGCAAGTTGACAGTTTAATTTCAGACACTTTAAACCGAGAAGATACTGCTGGCGCACTGCTCTACAGAAGAAAATTCTTTCTCTCTTCAGTAATTTAAAAACGTTAACACACCCATGTATATCACATTTAGCATACACACACACACATACACGCACGCACACACACACACACACATATCAATAAATTAAACAGACTCAAACAAATATATACACGTCTGCTGCATACATCAAACTGCAAAACTGTTAAACACTAAACATCGACAAAATGTCGTCTGTGTTAGCCCTCGGGGATTTATGTATGTCTTCATGTTTGTAGGTATGTTTGTATGTTTGTATGTTTGTTTGCATGTATGTATGTAGGTATGTATGTATATATGTATGTATGTATTATTATAATAAATGTATGTATGTAAGTATGTATGTATATATGTATGTATATATGTATTATTATAATAAATGTATGTATGTATAAATGTATGTATATATGCGTATGTATGTATGTGTATGTATGTATGTATGTGTGTGTATATGTATGTTTTTATGTATGTTTGTTTGTGTGTATGTATAAATGTGCAATGTACATAACATGTACGTATGTACAATGGGACCGATTGCTTTTTAGATCTCTGACTGGCGGACGGAGGTTGAAAATTCCAGGATAAATTTTCGTTCTTTCTTTTCGGTTTCGGTCAATAACAATTTTTTCATAATTATTATTTTTATTACTATTTTTATTTTTATTATTATTGTTGTTGTTTTTATTATTATTCATGTTATTATAATTATTCTTGTTATTATTATTATTCTTGTTTTTATTATTTTTATTTTTGTTTTTATTATTATTTTTGTTTTTATTATTATTCTTGTTTTTTTATTATTATTCTTGTTATTATTTATAATATTCTTGTTTTTATTTTGCGAAAAACTTAAAACGTGCAAGAACTTTATAGTAATTTAATAACAATAATAGAAATAATAATAACTATAATTATTACAATAATAATAATAATAATAATAAATTTAAAAGTAAACTGAAGTAATCATGGAGTGACATATCCGATAAGTCAATTTGACGCAAAAACAAACTAACACGGAATGGACAAAGAAAGGAAAGAAAGAATGAAGGAATGAATGAATGATTGAACGTATAAATGAAAAAATGAATGAATGAATGCACGGAAAAATGATTGAACGAGAAAATAAAAATGGATGAATAAATAAATGAATGAGTGAATGATTGATAGAAAGAAAGGGCCCAAGAAATAAATCAACCTAGAAAGAGCAGGCGAACAAATGACGGATAAAATGAATGAATTAATTAGTAGATGAATGAATAAACGAAGGAACTAATGAATGAATAAATAAGTAAATGAATGAATGAAAGAAAGAATTATTAAAAAAAGAGGAATGAATGAATGAAGTTTTATTATCACAGATGAGACTTGTATTAACATTTAAATTAATACATCACAAAATGTATATATATATATATATATACACTTATGTATATATATATATATATATATATATATATATTATATATATATAACATTTATTCATTCATTCTCTCATTCATTAATTCATTCGTTCATTCATTCGTTCATTCATTCACTCTTTCATTCACTCATATACTTTCATTGAAAATGTTTTTTTTCACACATTGAACATAAGGTCCTGTTTTTATTATTATTGATATTACCAGCAGTAGTAGTAGCAGCAGAAACGGCAGCCACCACCGCCGCAGCAGCAGCAGCAGCGGTAGTAGTAGCAGTAGTAGTAGTAGTAGTAGTAATAGTAGTAGTAGTAGTAGTAGTAGTAGTAGTAGTAGTAGTAGTAGTAGTAGTAGTAGTTTTAAAGTAGCGAAATCATTTGAACAAAACTATTAGTTGGACGTTAATGAAGTGATAGAAAAAGTATTGAAGAAAAAAAACATTTTTCACCAAAAACATTAGAATTTTTTTTATGGTCTAATTTTATTCTTTCACTCATTAATTCATTCATTTTTATTTCATTCATGCATTCCTTCATTCATTCCTTCATTCATTCCTTCATTCATTCATTCATTTATTCCATTTTTGCGGACATTTAGCCATTTCAACACCGAACTCTTAAAAGTCTTTTTTATTTTCACAATCTTCTAATGCTAATTTAATTTTTTGTTTACAGAAAAAAGTTATTAACTATTGCTACAACTGCTACTGCTGCCACTACTGCTGCTACTACTACTACTGCTACTACAACAACTACTACAACAACGCTAGTAGCAGTAGTAGTAATCATAAGTTGTAATAGTAGTAGTTGATGTATGTAATTTGATCGCATTTCCTATTATGCATGGTGAAACAGTTTATTTTTTTCGAAAGTTCATCAACAAATTTTGTTGTTGTTAATGTTGTTGCTGATGTTGTTGTTGTTGATGTTGTTGTTGTTGATGTAACTTCAAAAGAAGGGTGGTTTACTTTACAGCGTTGATCGCATGTTGCATTCAATGGTAAACAAAATGGCGAAAAAAAGATAGAGAGAAAGAAAGAATGAAAGAAAGAAAGAATGAAAGAATGAAAGAAAGAAAAAAAGAAAGAAAGAAAGAAAGAATGAATGAATGAATGAATGAATGAATGAATGAACGAATGAATGAATGAACGAATGAATGAACAAATGAACGAACGAACAAAAAAAAACGGATGAACAAGCGGATGAACAAACGAATGAGTGAATGAAAGTGTGGATGAATTAAAATTTGGCTTTCTGAGAAAAAAATTTTCAAGTAAAAACAAAGCAAAAACAAACAATAGGCTATTAAAAATAAAATGTTTTTGTTTCGTCTCGATTG